GAGGAATATGACCACAACTTACTAAAGGCCGGCTTAGCAGCTGCAAGCATTGGTTTGAGCTATTATATATGGCGATGAACAACCCCTACGTAGCTGGAGTAGATTGTGTCTATACGACTTACGAAGGCGAGAAAAAATACACCCAGAGCTCTTGGGTTGATGTCACTGGGATGTCCGTGAATTTGAACTACTCAGGAAAGAAGTTAATCCTTTGTAGCATTTGCCTTGGCTCCGTGAGTCATGCTAACATTGGTTTCAGATTCATGGATGAGAATRACGTACTGCAGCCTATGCGCGCGAAGACAAACAACAGGGAGCCTGCGCATTTCTCCGTAGAACCCAATCCAGCCAGCGCCGAAAATCAATCGGTTTGGACTTTCCACATGGTCGCCGATTGCCATGGGAAGGTAAAGCTGCAGATACGTATAGATGACACCGGGAGTGTTTGCATAAACAGCATAGAAAATCAGAGAGATAGTACCTATAATCACAAGACCATTAGCACTCTTACGGTATTAAGTATATGAACCCACACGTAAAGGAAGAAGGCTTTTATTACTATCCGGGAGAGATTTTTTACCAAGGGGATGAGTGGTTTGATACCGAAATTTGGGTAAAGGTTGGTGGTTTAGGATTGCTTATATGCACCCTTGACGTTAACCTACGTAATAGCTGTAATCTTGGGATTAGAATTGTTGACGAAAACGATACCCCACTATTTCCATATAGGGAAAAGAAAAATAACAGGCACTCATCACACTTTACGTATGAGAGTGCAAAGTCTAGCAACGAAAACCGGTCGACGGCGACATTTCATATGATAGTTAATTGTCAATACGCGAAGCTTCAACTTCGCCCAAGTGACACCGTAGGAGGTAATAAGTATGCAGGCTTTGTCGTATTTAATACCGCGACGCTTAAAGGTGACGTGGTGAACGCTGCCTGGAATCATAAGACCATTTCTACTATGACTGCTATACCGCTAGTTCCGCATTACCAAGGCGGCGCGAATACTATCTTTACTTATCCGCAGTCGAGGACGCCTCGGANGCTCTATCCCCTTTAAAAACTGGATTTTTGGACTTCTCAAATGATGTAGTTCCTCTTAAAAATGGGTCATTTTGGAGGGTCAGTTGTCCTTTAAGGGTATTGCAGAGTAGATARCCTAATAGTACAACTTTGTTTGACCATAGTAAGTAGAGGCCATGTTTCGCCCATGATACCGTAATAGCGTTGTGTGACCTTGTATAAGGAGTAAAATGCATGGTACCGGCTACACCTTTTTGCAGAACGCAAATAGAAAAAACAAACAAACAAACAAAAACAAGTTAAACAACTTCGCCCCTGAGAAGATTATTTTATTGAAATAAATGTTGTGCAAAGTACAAAGAAATGCAATCTAAAGTACGACTTTGTGGTTATTTATTTATCATGAATGTCGCCCCCAAAATCCACGTTTTGAGGAATACACATTGCTCTTTCACCTTCAAGATAAAACGTGTAACGACCTGCATTACTGTCCTATTGACCAGCATAGACATCTAATTCTACCATCAATAAATTCTATATCAAATTTTCGTCCTAACATTATACTTAGGTCACTACCCTAAAGTCACGAGATATCTTCGGAATAAAATAGCTGTATTCTAAAAATAGCTGGGTAATCTTTTGTTAAAATCTACTAACATTAGTACATGCTGCGCATTATGTTACACGACCCAGCAATGGTATTAAAATCCCACATTGGCCATCTCGCAACTCGGTTCATAAGTAATAATTACTACGATTTAGTACTTAATAAATATGTTGATGATGTGAGTTAAGGGGCGTAGCCTTGAATTTCCTTTGGGGTGGAGGGGATGCTTTTTATGCCCAATGGAAGGCCGGGGTTACATGCAGGCACCTAGCTATGACCCCCACAGTCTACGCCCGTGATTAACCTAAACTACAAATAATAATGAACCAAAAATAAATCCTTTCGAAAAATAAATGTCCTTCAATTCGAATTTCTCCTTTATGTGTGAGTTGTAAAAGGTTTGGAATGAAATATTAGAGTCATACTTGAAGATTCAGCGTAAAAAAGCTGTGAACATTTTTTAAATATAAAAGGGTGTAGCAAATTACATTTGCAGAATCTTTGTAGACTGTTTTTCTAACTAAACTCTGCTTATATAATGTGATTATAGTGTGGAATTCATATAAACGACATGTAAAAACATGTTTGTGAAAAAAGATTAGAGTATTGTTTATATATATATATATATAAAGGCTGCTTTTTCATATCTGCTTTGCAGATGTATCGCAAGTGATTCTATCTATATTGTAGTCAGCAGCTATAACGATTGCCTATTATCAAATGATACGAAAGGAATGATAGCTCTACTAATAAATTGCATGTTATATCAAATGAATATATTTTGTTCTTTAAAACTATAAAATCGATTCTAGGATTCTAAGTCAGTAACTGGGCTCATAAGTGAAAACTTATGCGAGTATCTCTTTAGTGTAGGCGCAGACTTATAATACTCAAGAAAATGTTTGTAGTCTGAAATGGGAGAGTACTGCACATCATATTGAGAGGTTCACTGAAGCATGCTAGTTTTGTGTGACGAAGAATTAAGTGGATATTTGTAGTGGAACGTTAAAATTTACGCGTGTTACATTGCCATCAACTTCTTCATCAGGAACTCCTAGTTTGGATCTTTGTCCGGTCTTCTTGAGTACGTGTGAATATAATTCGTTTGTAGGGGGTTCGACGTCTTTGGCCGCCCCTCGCTTCAGGTTGATCTTTTCTAATTCAGATTGACTGAGAACTGGATTTGTTCTTGAAGGGGTTTTCTTGATGATGATCGTCTGAAAATAGGATGAAAGAGAACGGGAATAAATAAATGGGATAAATTATTTTATATAGGGTCACTTTGGACTGAATTAAAGATTTTAGAGGATTAGAGGATTAAGATCTTGAATTGAGTCTAAAATCTCCCTCAAGATATTGCTTTTTTATTGCAGTTCTTTGATTGAAGGTCGTGGAAATGCTAGTCGGGAAAAAGAGACATTGAGACTTCGTGGGTCGCACTTCACCGAAAAATAATGGTAGTAGTAGAAATTGGAAAAAAGAATTCAGAAATCAAAAGAATTAAATAAAAGCAATAAGTAACTTCTTATTTAAACATTTTATGATAAAATTGAACGATAAAAACATGTTAAAAATGTGACGACGTTTCGACGTTGCACAACGTCAATATCAAGTCAAAAATGAACTAGAAAATATAGAAATAATAACAATAGATATAAAATAGATATATGATAACATAATGAGACAAAAAGTTTGGAAAGCAATTACTAATGAAATACAAAAAACTAATGAACACGCAGTTATCCAATTTCTATTTAAATTATGAACAAATGGGAAATGAAAGAATGGATAAATGACAGGGAAGCAAATATTTCTGCAAAGGATACTGGTGAGTACTTTACAAAGAAAACAAAATTAGAAGAAGATACGACAATTGAAGAACTATTTAAACGTTCAAAAAGATTAAAAATGAAAGATAAAAAGAAAGACACTCGTAGCTCTATTTTACAAAGTGGAGCATGGTATCCAAGTTACAGAGTAAAGACAATGATTTCTATTTTACCTTGGGAGGTTCAGGAGCAGGAGCTGGCACAGTTTTCTTGGGTGCTGCAGGTTCTTGCCTCACTGGTGAAGGTGAAATACGTGAAACAGGTGGCAGTACATGTGAATACAGCTCGTTTGTCGGGGGTTCGTTGTTTTTGGCCGTCCATCGTTTCAGGTTGATCTTTTCTAATTCAGATTGACTGATCACTGGATTCACTCTTGAAGGGGTTTTGTTGAGGATGATCGTCTGAAAATAGGATGAAAGAAAACGGGAATAAATAAATGGGAGAAATTGTTTATGCATTAAACGTCGGTGATTAATTCATTTTTAATAAATAAACAGTTATCCAATATCTATTTATATTTAGGAGTAAATAGGRAATGAAAAAATGAATGGATGATAGGGAAGCAAATACTTTTGCTGGTGAGTTGCTAATATTAAAAATGAAAGATTAAAAGAAAGACACTCGTTGTTCTATTTTACAAAATCAAGCATTGAATCACAGTTACATAGTTTAGACAATGTTTTTTCTATTTTACCTTGGGCGGTTCAGAAGTAGGAGGGGGCACAGCTTTCTTGAATACTGGAGGTTCGTGCCTCACTGGTGGAGATGGAATACGTGCAACTGGCGGCAGGGGTGCTGGGGGTGGTGACTCAACACGCTGTAATGCTGGCTTGGGTGTTGGACGTAACACTGGTCTCAAAGGCGGAGACTCAAAGCGTTGGGACGTAGGTTGAGGTGGTGGACGTTCAACCGGTCTTAAGGGTGGAGATTGGAAGCGGTGTTCGGTTGGTTCCGACGGTGATCGTCGTTCCACATGCACTGACCTCAGGGGTGGAGACTGGAAGCGATGTTCTGTTGGCTCTGGCGGTGGTGGTTGTCGTACCACTGGTCTCAGTTGTGGAGAGAAGCGCCCCACGGGTTGTTGACGCTCGAGCGGTTGAGTGTTCTTTGGAGAGTAAGGTTCCACGGCACGAAGTCTTGACTGCGATATATTCTCCGACGTCTTTCTATCGAAGTTAACTGATGGTAGAGGAGACGGACTTTGTTTCCTTAAGTAGTTTCTGTAAAAAGGAAATGTCTATTTAGCCCTTGTACGAACTTAATCGAAGATCTGAACTTTACTAAGGTCAATAAACACCAAGAACTGAACAGCTAGAACGCAAACAAGGGAAGCTTCAGTTTGTTTGTTTTTGTTTATTTGATTTCGTGTTTTTGTTCAGAGTAGGGTTTATAAATCTTTTTGAGTCTTCACACGATCTGTCGTTTGTGTCCAAACTAGTTTGATTTTTAGTCTCTCAATCATCAACAATTAAAAAAAAAAAAAAGAATTAATCCATATTCGTAAATGGGGAGGGGAACGGGGGGAAGGGGTGGGAATAGGGGGAGGGGGGAGAGGAAAAGGAGGAGGGAAAAGGGGGAGGAATGCTACTACCCTACTTACCTGAGGACAGGCTGATCTTTTTTTCTTCCAAGCCATTCAGGTTCCTTCATGGCGTCTGATGGAAGTCCTTCCACTATGGAAAGCATCTCGTTTATTCTCTGTGTTCGATCTTCAGTAAAAAGTAAACGAAAAGCAATATTATCTATTAGTTCAACGAGTTTGAATGAGGCTGAAATGTAGGGTGGTTGAGGGTGCTAAAATCTTTAAGAAAACCACACTAATGTCGAGTAAATATACCGGCCATTTGATCATGAGTCATATGTTTTCTGTCTCATAAAAATAGTTAAAACAATTGTGCTAATTAATTTAAAAAGAAGRGGGGGGGGGGGTGCAAGGTATTTGTAGTAAATGATGCAAATGGCCTAATTACTTCCTTCGAGTTCTTATAAATGCTTGTCATCTGGCACGGGGTAGGGGTGGGGTGGGGGATTTCGACAAAGGGCCAGGGACATAGGATGATAAGATTGGGAAGGGAAGAGGGAAAAACTTAAGATTGTCTCTCGATTTACCTTTTTGATATTCAACTTGTTTGCTGTCATCCTGGGTTTGAAAAGTAATAATATTAATCATCATTAAAAAACGATCAAGCAATCAATAGAAACAAACGAGCAGTCCAATCCATCTACCCATGCATCCACCCACCCACCCATCCATCCATCCACCCACCCATCCATCCACCCATCCATCCATCCAGGTTATAGAAAAATCGACTTACTGCAAATGTTCGTAGGTAGGATTCGTCACTAGGAGACCACGGTTCTTTCCTGACAAACAAACAACATCAAATCATCAGACTTGTATAAGCACAGGGAATCCACTTGAATGAAAAGTAAGCTTTGCGGTCTGTTCGGCAGCTTCCTGGGGGCAAACTCCATGCCGTGACGTTGACCACATATCAAGTGTTTATCAGTCATAAAAAAAGATTCAATGTGTTTCTAACATAAATACCTGAAAGAGCGTTGACTTCGTTGTGAGGCGAACTTGCCCAGTTCTGGGAGCATCATTTGTTCTAGAACACAAAGAAATATGTTAAATACCAAACCACCAGTCAAAGAGCTAAATCGGCGTGACGTCGCAGCCTTAGTACACAGTTTTGATAACAATAGAGCCATCGACACCAGGCAAAAACGTTTGCACATGTGTGCACTTCGGCACGTTTTCTAAGAATAGACCAGTTTCGAATTCCAAATTACCGCTGTGTTCCTTGATTACAGACTCATTTGCACAGGGTTAGCCTCGTATCAGTGTTTAAATATTCACAAATACCAACGGTAAAGTAAAGAATGCACAACTTCAACAATACAAACACTTTGAAACTCGACGGACCTTGACTGGAACCCGTGAATATTCTGCACAAACTCGAGGCTAACCCTGTGCAAATGAGTCTGTAATCAAGGAACACAGCGGTAATTTGGAATTCGAAAGGGGTCTATTTTGAAGAGTTCGAGTGAGAAAATAAATGTTTGTTTTCTCCAAGTATACAAAAAATTTCGCGAGTATACTTTTGTCAGACCAAGATACTGTATTAACAAACCCAATATGAAAGAATTACCCTTACGTTTCAAGCATGGACACTAAGTTTTGGCATTTTGTGAAGTCCAATTTATCATGCATGTTTGAAAGTCAACTTTACATATGTTTTGAGTAATTTGCATACGGATTCAGAGCATGCGCAGACGTTTTTCACTCGTTTCAGAGCCACCTGATCTGAAATAGTGACGTAGAAATGACGTCACTGCAAAACTGAGGTGTCCGCATGTAGCTGGTGAAAATTAACCAGCGAAAATTAAAAATATGTTCGCCATTGCAGTGAAAATACAAAACTCATAAATTGTTATGTGTCACTGTTGTCAAGCGAATATTAGTAACGTTATTTTTTTCCATTTGGTGGCCTGGAAATCCGTGATTTCATGAGGAAAAGTGACACCTAATATTTGCAAATTTTCTCGATTCTGATTGGCTAATATTTTTTCTCAGATCAGCTGGAAGTTTTCCACTACCACGTGACGGCAGCCATGTTAGAGAACGGGAACAATACAATCGTTTTACATGAGAAAGAATTCAATGCCTTGGAAGAAAGGGATTCTGCCATCTAACCACAGGCCCCCAAAGCTGCATTATGGGCGCCGGCACCGTGATGGTGCAAAACCTCTAGACACTTTGGTATTTTGTACTTACGGGGCCTGAATGAGGATTGCGAATCACTACGGAATCTACTTGCTGATTGTTTTCTAGGGTACAGTAGTTGTCTTTCCAGATTGGAAGGTCTCTGTTAAGAGAAAAAACAACGTATGTTACTATGCATTCATATTGTGAACCCCTCTCATGACATATGTTTTTAGTTAATCACAAAGTTATGGCTCTTCTCTCCCTTCCTCCCCTCCCCCCATCTCTAACCAAGACTTGTTTGGGTATGCAAAATACATGCACTTACGCTGTTTTCCAGATGAGGACGGTCGTTCAGATGCTCATTCAAACGCTCTTCAAAATCAAACAGCGAGTTGTGGATCTGCAGAAACAGAAAATAACAAAGGTAGTTTTTTAGTGATCCAAACCTTATCTCCCCAGCTACCCCTTCACGTTGAAATGCTAAACCACGGACCCTTAAAATTGTTTATACTGAAGTGGTATTTTATCAAGCGACTTAGGCCTTCGCAATTTTTCTCTACATGCAAAAACAAGCTTGGGCTGACTGTGGTTGGTTAGGATATTTAACTATGCCCTTTGCAGTGAACGCTCACGTGTCTGTATTGGTGAGCAAAATGTTTGTTTTCATTTTAAATTTGTGATTCTTTTTAGCAACTTGTAAAGAACTGAATGAAACGATGTGTATCCAGTGTGTCACGAAATGCAGTTTTATTACGACCTCTCGAAACAGGTTGTAGAAAGTGTGTTTGCTCCAGTATATTTCACCCATGGGAATCAAGATGTTCATTCATTTACTCTTAATGAATTAATCAGCACGTGATTACTGAGCTGCAAAGGGCCTATTAAAGCACGAGGGCGAGAGGTCTACTTGTTTTAGCATAAACCTACTATCTATATACTATACATACTTTTCGCTACTAGTAGTCTATCACTAATAGATTGCTAGTAGCTCAGCCAATCAGAGCACAGAATTTGTGATAAACCATTAAAAGGTTTACAATATAATCAACGAGATTGTATTGTTGATTGTACCAACCTGTTGTATGAGATAAATTCTCTTGGTCTCTTGTTGAGAAGCTAAATCGTCCACCTCAGAAGCCTCAGTATCGTACACAACGTCTTGACTGCCAAGGAGTGCGCTTCTACCCTGCATTGGTTCTGCCTTGGACTTGTTGACCACTAGAAAATAATCAATAATTAGCTATGAGTCCTCGATCTCGAATGAGTTATGAGTCAATAGCCCATGACGGCGAAAAGACTCATTGTTTAGGTCAAATCCAACTAGTTGGTCAAATGCTAACAAGTTTTGAATTCAAGTTAAATTTAGTGTTTTGGTTGTCAAAGCCAGCACTTTTCGCTACTAGTAGAATTTAACTTAGTAGTAGCTCATCCAATCAGAATGCAGTATTGATGATATGCCACTAGTTGGATTTGACTAAAGTCTGATAATAAGATAGTCTTCCAGTAGTAGGCTCAGGGATTTTCTAAACAGACCAGTGAAGCAGAGGTCTTCTTAGAGGTTCAAAGGACACCCATCTTAACATCAAATATAAATAAATCGAAACTTGTCTGCTGTCCATTTGTCAAGGGTGTCCGCTGAATAGAGGCTCGTTTTACATTAAAGATATTAATGAACTAGCTAGCTGTCCATTAAACTGAAGGGTAATAGAGGTAGCACTGTATACTATATCTTTGAATGAATATGAAATAAAAACGTCCCTGAGTGTAAAAAGCGCATTCTCTCTTCATTCCAATCCCCAATATATCCATCAATGTATTCAGTTAATCACGGAACGACCCATCTTTTCACCCAATCACTGATCAATACTTCCATCCCTTCCTCCCATAAGAGCCCTGACTTACCAGCATAATGACTCTCTCCTGTCTTTGCGCGCATCTGGATATAACAATGAATTAAGTAAGTATGTGGAGTGAAAATGATATTAGATAGCTTAAAAATGATGTGACAATGATTCTATGATCGCGTGAGCCCGATAAACTAGTGCCTTAACAAAGCACATTGTCAAATGACTAACGACACAAGCCACGATCAATACTTATAATGATAATGATGATAATAAAAATAATGATAATAATAATAATAATGGTGATGTTGACCATGATGATCATGATGATGATAAGAGTAAATGGTTTGAACCCCTTTTTTAAACCTTTTTTTACTTAATAATATTACTACTACTACTACTACTACTACTAATAATAATAATAATAAAAATAATGGTTAAGTTGATCATGATGATCGTGATGATGATAAGAGTAAATGGTTTGAACCCCTTTTTTAAACCTTTTTTTACTTTATGATGATGATGATGGTGAGCGGATTATGATGATGATAATAATAATAAATTCTTTCTTTATTTGTTTGCACTCATGATATACTTTACAATAACAAAAAAGATGATAAATTAATAATATTTACTTTATCCTGTGGCTCGAGATGTTTGTTCTGCTGATCATGGAATACATTGGATGAATCGATAACCTGAAAAGAATATCCATAACAGTATGATGAGTAACGCAGTACTACATATATCAAGTGGTGTAATCAGTAGATGACAAATATTAAGGTGGCTGGACCCCCTCACGCTTGACCGCTACCTTCCACTTTTGGAACGCTGGTGCATAAACGTGTTTTATCCGATTGCAAATCTTTTCTGCACATAAGTCACATAAAGATTGAATTAATGTTTGATGCAGTTTTTAATGAGATCGGACGTCATAACACGTGATTATGATGAAATATTTGTTTTCGTTTAGAAAATAATTTTAGCCTTGCAGAGCGTTCAACACTAAAATGCTTCGTACCACATAATTACATACTAGATGCATCCAATTGTAGGGATTTTTGAAAAAATCTATCTAGCTAATTATGAGATATTTGAGATTTAAATACAGTGCATAATCTATTTCAAAACTAAACAATGGATTTCATACGGCCGAAATTAATATTTCAGAGCTATATATTTACAAAAGTCATTGCTCATTTAGTTTTACTCTGTATCTAGTTTTAAAAGGAACATTTTGAAGGTAATCGACTTATGCGATTTTGTGAAAACGTATAGTGCACGTATAGTGTAACGTCCCACTTTTAAATAAATAAAAACTGTTTATTACCATGCTTCGGGAGWAAATCGGAAAGCGGCCAAGCGAGATCAGACCGTGCATGGTGCGAAAGAATTTGATGTTATGGTCATTAGCAAACAATAGAATTCCCAGAGCATCAAATCGTTGGGAAACGATCAATGTTTTCTGTGTTTTTCGTTCGCTTTAGACCGCTTTAAATG